GGAATATAGGGGTGATAGTATTTTATGTTACATGTTGTAAAAAGTTTGTGTTCCTCAACTCAAAGACTAAATCATTTCGTTTCACATGTAAAATTAAATAAAAATATTTTGATGATTTAAAAAAAAAACGGCATTTATGACCGCTATCTGGAGTATACAAAAAATCATAAATAATTAGTACTATAACTCCTGTAAGGATATTACGGTTTTCCTTGCCGTTTAAAAGATAATTCGATTTTTCATACAAGTTTTATACAAATTTTTCGAAAAATAATTATAACTCCTTCGTTTTTGAACATAATCAACTCGGGTGTCATATTTGTACATAGTAATAACTAAAAGAAGCAATATTCGGCAAAAAGACTGACACGTGCAAATTAAAATCCCTAAGTCTATGAAAGCCGATTTTCAGCCCACCGTGCGCCGTTTTGTGTCATTTTCAGCGAGTGGAGCGAGTGTGAAATACATTGGGGTTTACCCATGGAGACATAACCGAGAGTGGTTTCTATACCGATCGACTTCGGCGAGGTTGATTTATTAGATCCAAGTAAAAGCGGGAATAATTCTTTACCTGTAAGATGTCCGAGTTCAAAAACTTAAAGTGCACAAGAGTACGCGTGTGATAATCGAAATAATTTATAAAAGGCTCATTTAATAATATTAAATCCGCTTAAGATTATATACGCAACCAAAAAGGTGTTGACATTGCAGTGAGAACATAAGAAAACCTTGCTGGACGTGCAGGTGCCTTCACGAGGTAAGTCCTGGCCCCTCCAATGATATTTCAAGATCTTTATTCCCTGCATTTTTGTTCTTTAGTTCTGCAAGTGCATGTATTGTAGACCTATGTAAACTGCTCTCAGAATAATTTCAAAAATTAAAAAGCAGAAGTTTTCTTCAGAAAAACGATAAGGCTTACTATTATCGAATCGAATTATGTCTTTAGGTAAATAAAATAAAAATACTCTTCTTCTTTACAACCGATGATACGGCCATTGTCAAGGAAGACGCGCGATGTTTAAAATTTGACCGGTTAATTTCGATAGAATTCGCAGAGAGGAGAATCTTCAACTACACACACAGACTATTACAAAAACAAATTGTTACTTTTAATTTTACATAGAACATACACACAGGGAGAGTGGATGAAAGTTAGGAGGAATTTGATATTAACGGGACGGGGATTTGAGGAGGAAAGTTATCACGCAGAAGAATGACGATACGGTTGCAATAAAAAAACGGGTTCTAGATCACACTCGCACAGAAAGTGGTCTCGAACACCAATCTTGGCCAAGACCACAGGAATGCCATAGGTATGAGTGCTAAGCGTAGGCGAATAATCGCTGAAGTAATATTTTTTCGAGATCCATTTCCTAGTGAAGAACCAAGGTTTAGAGGGTAGATCATGTTGGATTTTGCCAATATAAAAATACTCTTAAGTTTTGTATTACTCGTATATTACTGATAATTGATTATCTTCATGTTGAAGCTTTCATCTGTAAGTCCACTAACCTCAGCAAAAAGCGCATTCCACTCTGGCTGAATATGAAAGACTGAGAATTCTTTTGTTTTTTCTTCTAAAAGTAAGACATAGAGTGCATATAATAACTTCCTCTGAAACCCCAGACCTACTGTACTGTATATTGTTCTATATTATTCATGTGTATCTAGCAATTTCCTACTGACGTGTAGGTACATGAAAAGTTTTGCAATAGTATGTAAAAATATAAGTATTTTGTTATGATTATTGATACAAAGATCGAACAAACTCAAAGAAAAATTCCTTCGATCCGGCTTGACTCCAACCAGTGACTTTTACGCTAAACCGAGGTTATCGCTTTCCTAACTGACGCGAGCGCAGCGGCAAAAAAAAAAGCCGCTAAAAACCAAAAATCTAAATCTGCAAGAAGCACATAGAGAAATTCTTAACGTTTGCTAACTCGTTCCGTAGCTCTGAATTTTTCTTTGTGTTTGTTCGATCTTTGTATCAATAATAACAACAAACTTGTGGAGTATTTTCGCAAAAAAAAAAAAATAGACGAATATCACGGTAATAATTTTTTTAATTTTATTTATTTATTTGTTGAGCATTGGCTATAAAGCCATCAGCTTAAACAAGCAACAAACAATTAAGAAACTCTAAACGTATTATGTAATACTTAAACTAAAAATTAATTTTTTCTTCAACAGTCCTTATGGTAGTAAAATACTGTTGCCTGTTTCTTAAGCTCTTTTAGAGAGTTTTTCATTACACCAAAACGGGAAGATAATCCCTAATAAAGATAAATAACACATGAAACAAGTATTGTTCTAATTGCTTAGATACTTCTAGTAGGCGCTATTGTTTAGAATCCTTAGACCGAAGATATTAAATTTATCAATGCATATTTTATGTTATGATAAATTGAAATTAGGTATAAATTTCTGTGCTCAGAAACCAACCCCATATCGCAGTGCATTTCTCTCCGGTAGTGAAAAGCACGCTTTAGGATACCGTGGCAAGAGGCGCCAGTAAGCGGTTACGCGCCGGAGTCAGCCTGAATGCGCCCGGGGTAGTGGCACACAGGGAACGGACGCTGCGGTACACTGGCGGACGTTCGCAATATCGCATGGGATGTCTCATCAGTGTGCGCTGGCAGGTATAAGATCCTCTTCAATGCTGTCCCCCGCCATCCGTCGGTTTGGACTAGCCATTAAGGGATTATGATAGGCTAGGTAGGTACTTGTGTATCGCATGCGATAAGTACTGTTCAAAGTCGGAAGGGTCAGGCTTGATGTGCTTGCTGGGCGGCGTCGGTGAATGTTCACCTATCCCACGACGCCGACTCAACCGACTTCCACTCTGGAGGGAGAGTCCCCACATAACCCCTAAGTGTCCCTGGGCTCAGGGGTATCTATAAAGATTGCCCCAGCGTCAAAAAAAAAAAGGCTTGATGTGCTTAGGACTATACAAATATTTAAGAAATTTACTAGGTACTTAAACTTTTTATTATTTCTTCTAAATCATTATTTCAACGGTAGATAATTATATAATCTCAAAGTCGTCATTTACAAGAGTTTTTTTCTTTAACGAATATAAAACTTAACAAACATACATAGTGAAGAAAGACTTTTATAAATTTTCTCACAGATGGCGCTACACCAAAAAACCATTAAAAACCAAAAACAAAGATGTACAATAAGCACATGGAAAAATTCGTGAGGTCCGTTGGTTCGTTCCGTGGCTTACTTGGCATAGCGTTTGGCACGGTTTGTTGTGAGACTTTGGTTGGAATCCAATCGGATCTAAGTGATTTTTTTCTGGGTGTTCAATCGATCTTTGTTTAATAATTATAACAAACTAGTAGAGTAATTTCACAAAAAAGAATTTCATATCATGGTGGTGAAACATCTTGACATTCAATAAGAACAATTAGGTACAATTATTAAAAGTGACATTTCTAGTCAGCGGCTGGTAGCTGTAAAAGTACGTCTCTGAGCGAAAAAAGACTTTCAAACATAAACTTTTTTACAATTATTTTATCCATCTACCTACATATTAGGTATTCTTCCAGTTTTATTACAAAACGGACAAATGGTGAACATATGTTGAGAATGTATTTAGAGAACTTTATTTTTAGTTTTCGTCATTCAAGATCGTTATAATAATGATCATTGTCGTCTAGGCAGCAACTAGTTAAAAAACAAGAACGTACTTAGTTTTTAAAAAGGCTACTAATCTGAAATTTTAATTGTATTCACTTAGGTACTAAAGAGTAATAACTACTTACGTACTTATACTTTTATAGTGAAGAAATTTAAATTCCAACGCATCGTTGTCGTTTATTTCGATTTTATATCTAAATTCAATCCAGATAATTCATCTGAATTGATTAGTAAAACCCAAAAAGCTTGAACACATATGTTAGTAATTACAAATTATAGTTGTAGTTGTAGTTATTACTCTTTGACACATTTTGTAAATCGGATCAAACACATACTTCGTATCTATGAACGAAGATATTGCTTATCTACATTTTAAATAAGAATGATAAAGGCGAGAATCGCATGCACATTGTAGTGGGAGCGCCACAGACGTATATCTCTGTATGTCTGTGGGGAGCGCTCAGTCGTATAATATACTAAATCTATGGTCGTATATGTATGTACCTCGGTATTGAGTTGACACTCCTCACCACGAATTAGAAAGGTATTGTAGGCCCCTCACAGTCGCTCATGAGCGTTAGTCGGTGTCAAACGCGTGAAGTTTTTTGTAACTATTAGTATACATTATAAAATGTATCAATTCATTTGGTATATAAATAAATACGCTGTAGTTATTTTACTATAAGTAATGAAACTGATAAAATAATCAGCAACTATGGAAGGTATAGAAAAATTTATTCCAACGGATGCGGATACCACTTTGGTTTTCTTCGTGAACGGAAAGAAGGTAACAATTTATTCTTTTTTTTTTAATGAGCCACTAACATTCGATTATGTCACCCTTGTCAGTATTAAAATGATTAGAGCGATCATACAAAACAAAAACACTCTTACTTCAAAGATTGTTAGATTTACGTTATAGTGGCATAGAGACTTACTTACATTGAGTTAACTTAGGGTCGTATTCCAGAATTCTACTCAATGCTCAAGTCAGGACTTGAGTATGATTTCAAGCACTAGTCTTACTGATGGTAAGCTACACGCTTATCCATAACTCTTTCACAAGGAGCTCTACTGCTACTACACGGTAAAAACAGATTACTTAGAAAAAGACAAAATTCTTTTTATGAAGACAAATTTATTAAATCCAACAAAACGATCCTCTCCCTTTAGACGCTAGAGAATAATTACTTGATAATAGTAAAAAACGTCTCAAAAGTGTATTTTAGAAATATTTAATCCAAGAGCAAATAAATTTACTTCTTTAATTAAAAAACCCTCTATATTCAACAAAATATTTATTTGTTATTAGAAATGTCCGATTTTCATTTAAAAAAAAGAATGAAAAATTGATAGGTAGGTACTTAATTATTTGACTCAAGATTTGTTTTCTAATATCAAAAAGGGTAAATTTACAGGGTTATGGACCCAACAGTATGTCTCACTAGCGTGAAATAGAGGTGGGTGATAAATAACGTCACGATGAAAAAATCACGATGATCCGCCGTCAAACAGTATCACCGTGACTCGTTCCGAAGCAACGACGTTCCAAAGTCACATAGGTGTTCCTCCGTTCCAATAGCTATCCCCGTCACTCACATCACGACACGTATTTCATACGATGCGCGATCTCCGTTCCGTGGTGACTGAACGCGCCACTCGTTGTAGTTCTCTTTAAATCGGGCCATTTCGGCGATGGGAGTGAATGAAATGGGATGACTTTCTTTGCTCACTCAGAAGGGTCGTAGATGTTTAATACTACTAGAAAAGGCGGATGAAAAAAATCTGCAGTTATTATAAACCTATTTATGAACAAAGTAAAATATTTTTGTATATTTGTTTTATTATAGGAAGAGTTGGTATTTTATATTTATGTATAATCTACTTTGTGTATTCTACTAGAAATATAATTGCATTACACTTTATTGCTATTTTTAACAATCCAAAGATTCGCATTAAATAAATAACAAACAAAATTACATTAAATACAAAATCAACTTTTTGAATGGAATTGAAACTTATTACAAAGAGATTAAAAACTTAAACAAATCATTCTATAAAAAACGGCTATAAGTATTAGAAAGAAAAGAAGCCGCTGGCTAAAACCATATATCGTGATGTAAGTTATGGGCGTGACAAGGTTACGGAAGTAACAGTCGTGACAAAATCATATAATTGTAAGTCAATGCAAAATCACGATGATTTTTCACTGGGATTTTTTTGGAACCGGAACAACGGTCACGGCGATAGAAATATAACGCTATTCCCCATATCTAGCGTGAAAGCACACGGTTCAGTGTCTAACCTTAAAGTAGCAGAATTAGAACGAAATCTTCTCAAATATTTGAGGACAATTCAGCGCCGTGTAAATGCCACAGAAAGCACTAACAATTCCGAATATATTAAATGACTTTACATATACTATTGAAGTTAACAAAACGATAGCGCGTTTCAGAGTACAACTAATGCCATCTAGCAGTGGCGTGATGGAACTAATTGCATGTTAAAGTTGTGCTTGTTACAAGTGTAGGTCGATTTCATGGTGAAACCAAATTTCTTAAATTATGACTATAAATAACACACTAAAAAACTAGAGATACTACGTATTGTTTCTTTGGATAAATGACTGTTTATGATTTTTATGATTACAAGCACAAATAAAAGTAATCGTTACCGCGTGCTCCTTCGGCGACATGTCACGACAACATTGACTATGAAAACGCTACGAAATGTTGCTTTAAGAATATACTCTAGAATTTGGAATATTAATCTGAATAGCAAACTACTTCTTTTTTTGTTTAAGAATATATTTTCTTAAAATACACCCAAGAAATTTTGTATTCATTTAAGATTTTTTAAATTTGATGTAAGAATTTCTTGATGTAAGAGTAATGTCCAATTAATTGATTAGAAATGAAATAAAATCTTGAAGTGAACGTATTTGTCTAAAAGTTAGAATAAAGTTAAGAGTAAAATTGTATTAGAAAAAGATAAGCAGTATTTTTGTAATGACAATATTTTATTAATTTTAATAAATATTTTTTCAGAATTAGCAAATATTTCGAGAAATTGCTCTTTCTTATTAGTAGAAATCCTTTTTTTCTGTGTATAAATAAAACGTTACGACATTATGGGAACGCGCCCTAACGGGAGGTCATGTCTAACGACCTGTCTTCTAGCAATACGTAATGCTCTAATTTAGTTTAAAAGTAACATTTAATAATATCTATTATACTTATCTTCGGCCGACCGTGTAAGTAAGGGTCGATTCAGATGATAAGCGTTAGACTCGAGCTTACAACTAGATACACGACTTTTATTCGTAAGTACCCGTAGATGTTCGTTCATGTTGACGAGCGCCTTTTTGCCCGGTTCAGAGAAGTGTCAAGCGCGCATTTTGCTAACGCATGTCACTGCATGAACCGACCCTTATTGTTATATGCCTATAATATCTTGAACTCTTAGCGCCCAGTTACACGAGGTGAAAGATTACGCGCGGCCGCTTAATTACCACGCCTTCATGTAAGGACAACAGCGCATCAGATCAGACTACACATTTTTGTTCCAAAATCGCCTCCAGTGCAACGGAACAAGATACGTCAATGTTTGATGTGCTGTTGACTGTACATTAATGGCGAATCTGAATTCTATGTACTAGGCAACAACAATAAAATTCCTCTGAATAAACAACCGCGCAGTCGCCGCGTAGACCAAATTCAAGCCAGACTCGCCCGCGTGCCCGAGACGTTCATTTAAGTTTAAACGTAAAAGCTAAACGAATAGAGCGTATTTTGCCATGACAGTTAGACCCACGCGGTTACTGCGCGGCGGCAACGCGGACTCCGCTCGGCGAACGCGCGGCGGCCGCGCAGGGTGAGCGCGATGAAGTTCGTGTCGAATAAATGCGCCCTTACGGTAGAAATATCTACAGTAGTGTAGGTAATATTTACTAAAATCTTTTTACTTAAGTATTTAAATAGTACCTACTTTTGCATTGTATAATTTGTTAACATGTTATTTAATTCAAAATTTTGTCATTGCATGGATTTGTTACGTTCGAAATATACGTTTATTATTATTACAAGGGTTATGAACATTGTATTAATCAACGATATAAAGTTTTAACAAATATACCTACGTCAGTAAGTATAAATAATCAATAAAATATCACGGTCTATTTCATTCCAACCACAAGACCTGGTGTTAAGCAAGTTTACTAAATATCGTGTTTCGTACACGCGCTTGTTTGCCGAATATCGCGAATTTTCAAGAATAGTAACTCAATCCAAAATTGATAGTTGTTTGACTTATTACTGAGGTTTATTCAGAAAATGTTAAAATTTATTGTGAATGGGATTCATTGGTTAGTATAGTCACATGGCAACATTGGGATAGTCTACGAGTCGTCGATTTTAAACGGGAGACACGTCTCAGTTTATTTAAGCCATTTTTCTGAATTAGGCGCTTTTGTGACAGGCCGCTATTCTAGAGACATGCGCAAGTATTTTTTAAACTATACGTTAACTATCTATGTATTTTATGAATGTCTAATTGCATTGCATTTTTTTTGAAGTGTAACTAGCATATACTATGTTAGTGTATCTATTTAGAATTCTTTTGTAGTCGTAAGTAAAAATAACTAATTTGCATAACTTATTTGTTCTGAGTTTTTGAATTTTATTTTTAATAATTTCTGGGTTTTTGAGGGAGAAGTGTACTATAGTCATAATTATATAGTCAGTATTTTATAATTTGAAGTAATTTTTAATATTGATAATTTTATGTTGGAAGATACTAAAAAAATACAAAAAAACTCTTAATAATAAATAAAAGCGTAGTATTAATAAGTGTTTGGAATTGAGGGAGTTCATTTACGTAAAGTACTTATGAACGTTTTCATAACGGACATACACATTTTGTCATTACCTAATGCGTATGAAATTTCTTTTTTAACTGTCTATTTTTTAAACATTTTATAATATATGTTAATGCTTCATGTTTTTTTTTATTGGTAGCAAATATAAGTATTTGCTATTTATATTGCCTATTAAGATAGGAAATAATAATCTATCGCAAATGTACTAACTCAATTTCAATAAATAATATTCAAATATTATCAGTTGCGAGAAGTAGAAGGGAATATCCAGATTATTCTTTAGTTTTGCTAAATTAACCGACTCCGATCACGAATAATAAGACTATATTATGTATAGTATGGTAACTCAATATAAACGTATGGCAACGCGGCTTGTATGACATACATAATGACACACATTTGCATAATTTCGCCATGCACTCGTATTCATTCATCATGTCATCGTATGTCATTCATTAGAATATGATTAGAATAGACATTTATTGCATTTAGAATAGAATAGACATTTATTGCAACGCCACAACACATAGAAACAAAAAAATATATTGATACCACTTAGACAAGCAAAACAAAATAAAAAAACGTAATAAACAAAATAAAAATAAATAAAAAAGACAAAACAAACAAAAAGCAAAAAAACGTAATATAACGACTACAAATGTTGTACTGTCATGTGTGCGGTGTGCAAAAGGACTTCGTTCAGTTTATACCAAAGCCGTAATTGACTGTGGCGCTGCTTTTCAATGAGGCTTGACTACATTAATTAATTATAGAAAGTTCGGTCCACAGAACAATAAATACAGTAGAAGTGGTTAGTTAGCGTCTGACGCGTGCCAACTATAGGTCTCGAAAGACCTATTCGAGCTTAGTCCGCCATTTTCGCTTTGCATGGTATGATTGTGTCATTATTTCGTGCAAATTGTCTAAAATCCTAGAAAAATGCCTTATTGTGCTGTTTTGGAGTGCAAAAATTATAGCCGCACCAAAAATATTATCCGTGGTGGTATGTCATATCATCAAAAAGGCTTATTTTAATAAATTTTAAATTTTTTGTTTATCGAAATATGGTTTTTGATATAAGTAACGAAAGTAAAGCTTATACCCCTGCAATGTAGTCGCTTCCTTGTTGGAGAACTAGTAAACGCCAATTCATGGTCGTTCAGCAATTACCGCTAGATGGCAGTACGTTGGTGGAAGTTTCAATATAGTGTCAAAACGTCGTAACTTGCAATAATAGGTATTGATGGTATTGAACTTCAACGATATGCCAACAGGGTAAAGTTTAAATTATATTTACAATCCAGAATTTTGTAATTTATTTTTAAATTTGAAACTTCGACCAGTCAATATCAAGATTTTATAGTGTTTCAAATTAAGAATTCGGGAGTTTTGGCGACATCGCTTCTCATAGTAATCGAGGCTTGAGGTACTTCTATTGCTTTTTTTCTTGCGTGACCCGCTCGGTCGGTCGGTGTTTAAAAAATGACATCAAATAATAAACGTGTTTATTGTTATGTTCACAGTAGTTTGAACAAGAGTGTCTTAAATTCAGAATTGTTCATAATTTCATTTCTATGAAATCATATTCCATAATCAATGTAATATACCATAATCAATATACATTAGTAATGTTTACAACCTGTATCAACAGTATCACGTTGTGGGCATTTCTCCAAAGCCGCAATTTTCCGTGCCCATGCAGTAAACTCCACTTAGGTAATTATGAAAACAAAAATCTACAAAAAATAGAGTGCATAATATAGATCGAACGAAAGCTAACTGGAGAGCATAAAGTCTTCCCTGTAAACCTTCCGGACCTAATGGAAAAAAATCCGAAATGCCTAAAACGTGACAACAGTGGCGTGTCCCGAATGCAGAATCCAACACAAAGTTACATTTTTCTCAAAATTGAAACCGTGTATCAATATTAGACTTTAGTTCACGTATAGTAAATTAGATGATAGCACTTATAATCTGGATTTGACAATATACTAGACAATAGTTTTATCACAATACGAAGATTGTTGCGTGTCCCAGGCTTACGCGGGAGTTCGGTGGTCGTTACTAATCACGTTGCATATCGCAGGTGTAGCATTTTAAAAGCTTCGCAATGGGTTCGTATTATTCGTCCATCACGCCCCTGCGACTGGAGAGAACAGATGATTTGTTGCCGATTTTGGGACTTTTTGCGTGTAAATATCTAATTCGGTGGATTTGGTTCAGGTCGATTTTTTAATTCGGTGTATACAATATCTCAAAAACTAAATTTTATGTTTGTATATAATATTTTTATATGTGTTGTAACAACTAGAATATAATAACAATTTATTGGTTTTACAAGTAGTGTCGTTTACGTTAATATCAAAAAAATATGTATTTTCTGAATCCCGTCGCCTTGGTTTCGGTGGATTTTATGCCACCGAATTCAGAAAAGCTTTCACCGAAGTCGGAAAAACTGCCGTCGTAGCCATATTTTCTTTGAAAAGCAAGAATTTTATACATTTTTTTCATATTGATGTTTAGTTAATATTATTGATTTTCACAATTTTATATTACCTACTACTTGCTTCCCGGTGAAAGTAAATAAGGAAAATAAAAACAGCAAAGAAAAATTGAATATCAAGAAGATGAAGGAACGTGCTAGAAAAGCAAAGCAAAGAAAAGCGGTATGCGAAGAAAAGGCGGAAGGGAAGATTTTGAAGTTGCATGAAATAACCTCGTCATGTATAAAGAAGTAATGAGAGGTATTAATCAAATTCGAAAAAAATGATAGCTATGTAGCTACAGATTGCGTTCTAAATTTTTTTTAAAAAACAGTTACGGAAATACTTTATCTGATTGAAAAAAGGTTGAACAGCCAAACTGAAAACTGATTTCATAAGGTGAAAATTGTTTGCGCTGTACTGGCAATTTATAAATTAATTTTGGTATTTAAAGCTTAATTTAATAGTTAGTGATATCACCAAAATGTTTATATAGATTATTGAATGTTTTTATTGCCTTGTCCATAATATTTTATACAAAAATTGTGACTTTTGTTAAATTATTCTGATTTCGGTGGTAGCTGAATTCGGTGGATCGTATAGTATATATATATATATATATATATATATATAGATATATCATATATATATGTATATATGTGTGTGTGTGTGTATGTATATAGATTTTTCACTATTTCTGCCATAGTTGGTCCCATAGAGACTATTGATCCTTACCAGAGACCGAATCGAATGGCATAAAAAAAAGTTTTGTAAAAATTGCCTTTTATCTCGTTGACTGTACCATTTTTTCAAAATCTGTGAATGCCAATCAAAATATCTTCAAAATTCATGGATAGTCTTCTAGAACCATTTTCCTGTAACTACAACGATTAAGGTAGCTGACCTTGCTGCCCTGTCTCAAATTTACACCCTGTATATATATCGATATATGTCATTAACCGTTAAGAACGGAATCTTATGTAAGTTTGAGTTCTTCTTCCTTTCCGCTCAATGTTTTTCTTGAAATTAAGAAAAAATTGGACCACCGAAGTCAGAGAGCCCTTCTAGGAGAAATGCCCTTGTACACTTGTGTTCGAATATCGCCTACAGTGCAACATTAAGATCCGTCAATATGTACCTGGATATGCTGCCTATGTGCAATTAAAATAAAAATGTAACAACATTTCGCTCCGAACGAAGTGTTTACGCATTTACGCTCCGAACAGGATGGAGTTGCCCAGCTTGTTCTTATTATACTATGATAAAATCGAGAAAATTCCGAATTTCCACTATATTCTAATTGTGATCGTTAAAAGAATATAAGTTTGCCTTGCCTAAAGTTTTACAACTTATACGACAGTATTGTATGTGTTGTATGCGTGTTGCTATAACTAAATTAGCGATTACCGTGTTTGAAACAACTAAATTGGTATGTAGGTACCTATTTAGGACTAATACATACATAATAATACATTTTATTAACAAAATTCCGAGTTACGTTAATGGCGTAATAGTTACACGGTATATGCTCGGTATGCTCCAGTAAAATGAAAATAAAATAAGAATGTCACAATAGAACGAAAACCAATGTCAATTCCAGGTTGTAGAACTTTCTCCGGATCCAGAATGGACATTACTTTGGTACCTTCGTCGTAAACTTCAACTGACTGGCACCAAATACGGATGTGGCGAAGGTGGCTGCGGTGCTTGCACTGTTATGGTCTCCCAGTACGTGAGGAATGAAAACCGAATCAAGTATCCTTATAAAAGCCAAAATATTTATTTAGAATCTAAATTTATTATGGTGGCAACAAAAATGTTTAAAATGAATTAAAGAGTTTTTTAAATGTCGAAATAAAATTAAGAATTCCTTTGAAGTGTTTTTATGGTAAAAAAAATTGTTTATGCTACAGTTTTTATTGCAATACTAGCTACTAATATTGAAACGCTTATTCAATGGAAATTAATACAAATAATAAACTACCTTCCAACACTAAAATTAAATAACAGTTCACTGTTCTTCCCTGATAATTCCTAAGGTTTCTTTCTGGGTTTTGAATTTCTCATGGTTATTGATAGGGATTACGGGTTGTAAGGCTTTTTCTATTCTAATGTTTACAAATTTTTGTAATACCTATGTTTTAAGATTTTTTTTGACTCAATATTCAGGCATATTGCTGTAAACGCATGTTTAACTCCAGTGTGTGCGATGTATGGTCAAGCGGTTACAACAGTTGAAGGGATTGGATCCACACAGGGTCGATTACACCCGGTACAGGAACGCATTGCTAAAGCTCATGGGTCTCAATGTGGCTTCTGCACTCCCGGCATCGTCATGTCCATGTACGCTCTATTGAGAAATAAGCAAAAGGTAGAATACAAAGATATAGAAACATCATTACAAGGGAATCTCTGCAGATGTACTGGTTATAGACCAATCATTGAAGGATTCAAAACGTTTATGGAAGGATGGGTAAGATCTTATACAAATGACAATACAAGCACCTGTAAAATGGGAAAAGATTGTTGTCGTAATAAAAAGAGTGAATGTAAGGAACAAACACTGTTTAATACATCAAAGTTTCAGCCGTATGATTCAACACAGGAGCCCATTTTCCCACCAGAATTAAAGTTGAATGATCATTATAGTGACTCGTTTACCTTTTTTAAAGGTGAAAATGTAGTATGGATTAGGCCAAAAACCTTAAATGATTTACTCGTAATTAAAAGTAAATTTCCAGAGAGTAAGATAGTTGCTGGTAATACTGAAATAGGAGTAGAAATGAAATTTAAGAAAAGGGTTTATCCGATTTTACTACATCCACAATTGATTAAAGAAATGAGCGTTTGTAAAATTACAAATGGAGGAATTGTAATTGGTGCAAATATTAATTTAAGCGATTTACATGACATATTGAAAATTGAAATTGCAAAGAATATAGCAAAGGGAAAGACGTTTGTATCTATCACGGAAATGCTTGATTGGTTTGCTGGTAGTCAGGTGCGCAACGTAGCTACTCTAGTTGGCAATATAGTGACAGCAAGTCCAATATCAGATCTGAATCCCATACTGATGAGTTGTTCTGCAATTCTTAATGTTTACAGTATACTAAAAGGCCATAGAAATATAATAATTGACGAAGACTTCTTTGAAGGCTACAGAAAAACAGCAATAAAAAATGATGAAGTTGTTATATCAGTGGAAATTCCTTTTACAAAAGATAGACAATTTGTCAAAGCTTACAAACAAGCAAGAAGAAGAGATGACGACATATCGATTGTTACTGCAGCTTTCAATATAACCCTGGAAAATAATACTTTGATAAAAGACGCAAGGCTGTGTTTCGGAGGAATGGGACCAACAACAATTTGTGCAAAGAATACATCACATTCATTAAAAAGTTTATATTGGAGTGAACAAACCCTCAATTTTGTATTCGATGCTTTGACTCGAGAATTGGAACTTGATGCTTCTGCACCTGGTGGTATGGCTGATTATCGCAAATCATTATGTTTGAGTCTATTTTACAAGTTTTTCGTTTATGTATCACAGACAATGACTAATAAAAACAACAAAGAAAATGATCACAATGGCATGGATAAGCAAATGAGCGCTATTGAATATTTACCCACAGTCAAACCTTTGAGTTCTCAGTATTTTGACATACAAAACAATGATAGGAAATTATCTGATTCTATTGGCCAACCTATACCTCATGTATCTGCATTAAAACATGCAACAGGTGAAGCTATTTATTGTGATGATATACCGCAAGTTCAAGGAGAGTTGTTCCTCACATTAGTATTTAGTACCGAAGCATATGCAAACATAATAAATATTGATGCTAGTGAAGCTTTAGCTGTACCTGGAGTAATAGCATTTCTATCGGCTAAAGACTTAGACGAAGAAGGAAATAAAATGGGTCCAATATTCAAAGATGAAGAAATATTTTCAAGGCACATGGTTACTAGCCGTAATTGTGTTATTGGAGCTGTCGTTGCTACTACTGAAGGCATAGCTAGGAAAGCCAAAGATTTAGTATCGGTGACTTATGAAAAACTTAAACCTGTAATTATTACTTTAGAAGATGCGATTGCTCACAAATGTTTCTTTGATGGTTATCCCAGAACTCTAAAGAAGGGTAATGTTAAAGAAGTATTTAAATATTCCAAATACAATAAAGAAGGCATCATAAGAAGTGGAGCACAGGAGCACTTTTATTTAGAAACAATGTCAGCATTTGCAACCAGAAAAGAAGATGAATTGGAAATAATCTGTACAACACAACACCCCGCCGACATTGCCGTAAGTAAAAAAATGTTTTAGAGTTTTAATTGATGATATCAAGAGGAAGAGTAAGTACACGGAGTAATTAACGGAATACTATGCTTGTTTTAGCGTATAGTCTCAGAAGCTCTCCATATATCGAACCACAAAATAGTATCTAAAGTGAAAAGAATCGGGGGAGGGTTTGGTGGCAAGGAAACCAGAGCCGCAATTTTGGCAGTGCCTGTGGCGTTGGCAGCTTATAAACTGAAGAAACCCATACGATCTGTTTTGGAAAGGGAGGAAGATATGCAAATAACAGGGTACAGACATCCATGCCTCATCAAATACAAAGTGGCATTCAACGACGATGGAAAGATAGCAGGAGCTACATTCGATATTTATGCTAACGCTGGAAATTACATGGATATATCATGTTCGGTAGGTTACCAAATATATATAACTGCCTCCGTGGCCAAACCGTTACCATGCTTGTCTGCCACGCAGAGGTTCCGACTGCGAATCCCGGGCCGGGAGAAATATTTGTATGGTCTACATATATTTCTCTCATGGGTTTGGGTGCAATTTGTGGTTGTCTATGATTGTGTCCATGGTACCCGCGACACAGGGTGTTCTTAGTGCCGGGCTATGGTGTGTACGTAAAAAAAAGAGGATGAAACTTGCTGGCGAAATTAACACGTATCCTTGTTGTTTTTCAGATGATGGAGCGTGCTATAATGCACGTTGATAACTGTTACTTTATACCAAATTTAGAAGTAAACGGATATGTTTGCAAAACAAACATGCCTTCGAACACGGCATTTAGAGGTTTTGGTGCGCCTAAAGCAATGTTAGCGACAGAGAGTATGATCAGAGATATAGCATCGACACTTGGTAAAAGTTACGAAGAAATAGTTCAATTGAATCTTTACGGCGAAGGACATTTGACACACTTTAATCAGCAGCTTACGTATTGTACTTTATCGAAATGTTGGTTTGAATGTATTGAAACGTCTGACTACTACAGAAGAAAGGACGAAGTTGAAGAGTTTAACAGGTAGTGGATTATAACAATTCCTTAAGAATAAAAAGGTAATACGATTGAATATTGTATATTTTTTTATTTTCAATTTGCAGGTCTAACAGGTGGAAGAAGAAAGGAATTGCCATTTTACCGACAAAATACGGCATCTCCTTTCAGAATGATCTTCTTATGCAAGGAGGTGCACTTGTGTTAGTTTACAACGATGGATCGGTTCTTTTATCCATTGGAGGTATAGAGATGGGACAAGGCCTATTTACTAAAATGATACAAGTAGCGTCAAAGGCTTTAGACATAGATGTTTCCCTAATTCATATTAGTGAAATGGCAACGGATAAAGTACCAAATAGCTCGCCTACCGCCGGCAGTATAAGCTCCGATTTGTATGGTATGGCTGTTATCAACGCTTGTAATACCTTGAAGGAAAGATTACAACCGTACAAAGTAAAAAATCCAAATGGCAAATGGGAACATTGGGTTTTAGCAGCATATCAAGACCGAATAAGTCTTGCTGCGACTGGCTTTTATGCTGCGCCTAAAATTGAATACAATCGTGAAACAAATTCTGGAAATTTGTATGAATATTTCACATATGGAGTTGCATGCTCTGAAGTTATTATAGACTGTCTAACAGGAGATCATCAAGTACTAAGAACAGATATCGTAATGGACCTAGGCGAAAGCTTAAACCCAGCTATTGATATTGGTCAAATAGAAGGGGCATTCACACAAGGTTATGGTTTTTATACATTGGAAGAAATGGTATTTTCGCCAAATGGTGAAGTTTTGTCTCGTGGACCAGGGGCTTACAAAATTCCTGGATTTTCTGATATACCGAAGATTTTTAACGTTTCATTATTGAAAGGAGCTTCTAATCCTAGAGCTGTTTATTCTTCCAAGGTAAGGCCGACATCCGTCGGCTTATTCACTTCTCTCAGTCAGCATTTTAAGGATTTAGAAAAATGTTTTCAATTTGTAGGCTGTCGGGGAGCCACCGTTGTTCCTAGCCGCGTCAATATTTTTCGCAATTAAAGAAGCAATAAAGTCAGCACGCAATGACGCAGGTGTGATGCCTGACTTTACGTTGGAAGTACCTGCAACATGTGCTCGTATTAGAATGGCCTGTGAAGATGACATTACTAGACAGGTAAGAAAAAATACAACTCTCATTAAGCTCAGCAACTATTCATTTACTAGAGAAACGATATTCGCGTCAACAAATAAGGTGTAAGTTGGACGATGGAACCTCATCGTGAATAGTGGATCTCATAATTTTTTTTTAACATATCAAGCTACGGGACGAATAAGTCGTGCGCCTGATAGTAAACGACACGCCTATCCATGACATTTGCAGTACCACTTAGTGTTTTAAATCGCAACGATCTGGGGAGCACTACCACTGCTCTTGTCACCCTGAGATTTAAGTTGACAACTCCCAAGTGCCTGTAATTTCGCCAGCGCTCTTACTTACCTTTCAAAACCGGAACGCAGTTAATGCTCACGAACACTCGACGAACACTCTCACAAATACTCTGCTTTCTACATTCTACTGCTACTAGATATGAGCGCCGCGCCGGCGCGCCGCCGCCGCCGCGTTTTTCCTCACGCCGCCGCCACCGACAAATGCAATCGGCGCGCCGTTCAGTTCAATCAGACGCTCCTATCGTACGCTACGCGCATGCTTCCGTATTGTGTATGTGAAAATAGCGACGCCAGAAAATGACTTATCTAAGATAAAACTTATTTTTTTTATAAAATGTAAGTTCGCATTTGACCTCAAACACACCTGATGGAAAGTGACGATGAGGTCGACGATGGATGAATGCCTATTCACTTTCGCCATAAAAAGGCCAAAATTATATATTCAGGGAACAAGTCTGCAGACAGTAGGAAATTCCACTCCATAACCGTTCGCCATATAAATGTGGAAGCGTAACGCTTCGTGCGAATCTTTAGAACATCCACAACATAGAGGTGGAACCCAAGTCTACGCTAGTCCCCCGGTTGCCTGGAATTAACATATCATTGATATGCAGTAGAAAGAGAGTTGCAGACAATACGGAATCCTCAGGAGTCTATCGCTATATGTTCGGAAGAGGAGGCTCGCTCGCTCAAGAAATCCGAGATCCAATTACAAAATGGGAAGCCCATAAAAGGGAAGCTTACTTAAAAGGTTTGCGTGCCGGACCCTGTCAAAGGCTTTAGAAATATTCAAAGACACTGCAAGTGCTTCACCTTGCTTTTCTGTAGCCTCGCTCCATGTGTGACAGGCATACACAAGGAGATCCCCAGTTGATCATCCTAGTCAGAATCCGTACTGGCGATCACTGAAGAGATCGTTGTCTTCAAGGTACGACAAGAGCCGGTTGTTGAGTACACGTTCCTTAGTCTTGCAGAGTATGGAAGTGACTGAGATAGTCTGTAGTTGACAGAGTCAGCTCTGCTTCCCTTTTTCGGCACAGGTTCCACGTTTGCAAGCACTTCTAACTACCTCTTTTTGGCGTATGCGAATTGGTGCCATAGTGCAGCCAGCCTGAGGTAAGATGAGATCCAGACGCGAACACTTTGCAAAGAGTGAGGCAAAAAGATTTGCCTTGTTTTCTGCAGTATAGGCCATCGTGCCGTCCGGCCTCAGCAGAGGTGACATAGGTAGGTATATAGCGACAAAAGTTAATTAGTAACTTTATATTTAAAGATGTTTGGTTTAAAAAATTAATTTGTCAAAATCTGTCGTCGGCGCCATTTTCACTACGCATACACAATATGAAAGCATGCGCATGCGTACGTTCGGAGCGCCTGATAGACCTGATAAAAATTTGATTACTATAGAAAATACCTACGTTATTTTATTCTTTCCTTTCAAAAAATATTTGTATTACGGTTTATGTAAAAACAAACACCGATATACAAATTCGTTTTCGCGCCGCCGAAACGCCACCGCCGCCGCCGCTTACATTTTTTTGTTGGCGCGACGCCGCCGGTAAGTCTATTATCGGCGCTCATCTAACTGCTACTAAATGTTAAACTTACAGAAAATAAAACAAATTAAATGATGAAGTGTTTGTGATATCTAAGGCAGTTTTATACAAGTAGGTACCTATTGTACATTGATAAATAATAAGCCCAAAAGTGAGGGCGCGTTCCCAATATGTCGTCACGTTTTATTATCGTTGGACGACTGTCGTGACTAGCCTGCTCCCATATCACGACTATCTGTCGTGGACGATTTTTTATCGTTGAACGACTGTCGTGACTAGCTGTTCCCACTAGATCGTGACGACAATAGGAGCTGCGACAACCTGTCGTCACGTTTTTATCGTCTGACGACTGTCGTTCTAGCTGTTCCCACTGTGACGACAGTTTGTCGTTCTAACGATAAAAAATCGTGAACGACAGTTAATCGTGTCGTGCTATATGTGAACAACTTCATTTAAATATTCAAGCCACGACGCTGTAAACTGCACGACAATCTGTCGTCACGACATAGTGGGAACGCGCCCTGAGTTATGCGTGGGTTGTTCTTAATGCTGCCAGGTCGATGTGACGAAATGCGGGCGCAGAAGAATAAAAAAGCGGCATGTGGTCGTCCAAGTCGCAATAGTTAAAATTATATTTTTATAATCTTATTATTTACTTACAATTAGGTAATAAATGCTAAGTAATAAATAATCAAGTGTGTACTTTGTATGACAATGAAAACAAAAAATGAGCTTGACATATTTAAAACATAATTATATTTATCTAAAGGGACATTTGGCGTCTCTCGTAATTATTGCGAAAGATTGATCTTAGTACCCTTGAAAATTTGGATTTCCCGTGCAAATCGGGACACCTGTCAATACAAGTTACATTTTTATATTGCGCATAATATTAAAAATTATTTGAAAATAACACTCGTAAAATCAGTGTCATCAATTCATTGTCTGTATATACCTACGTAACAGACTGACGACATAATTATGCTCTTCTTGTCATTAGCGAGAACAAATAAGTAATGAGAACGGACACTCTCCGACCCTCCCTAGCTTTAGATACCGCAACACGCCCCGCACATTGACGGTCAAATTGACTGAACGAGTACAAGGCTGTTGGCGAGCCGATTTCGCGCTAAGACGGCTTTGACGTTTGAATATAGTTTTCATTTATTCATAACGACATTTGTACGTTAATATATAACATCATTTTACGTTACTATTTATAATGGCCTGAATTGTGCTGTGTACGGCTATTTATAATCATCTAAATGGGATAAAGAGAGGACTTTCTTTCGTTTTTTGAAAGATGAAACGAAGTAAGTAAAAAACTTAGGCCTGAGACTCATTCGGTTATTGTTTTCTTTAGTGCAGAGTAATATATAATACAGATTTATTATATCAATATAATAAGAAGCCATAACTTCGTGTGCTAGACAAGTGTTCTAGAATTTTCAATTTGCATTGCCGATAAATATTACGTAGTGAATACACCTAATTATTAAGTAGGTAATTATAAAGTTGGATACGCAATTTCAAATACTTTGGTTACCTTATTTAAAGGTCCAAAATATAACATTTTAAGTGCTTTTAATATATTTTTTAAATAAATCTTCAATATTATTCTAGTTAGTGAATTAATTAAAAATATAATATTATGTCGATATAAATAAGTAATGAACATGTGTGATTATTAGGATTCTATAATAATAAATAAAAATAAAATAAAATTCGTTTAATTCGGGCAACAAAGACCCATAGACATTATACATCACATTACATCAGTCATTACAATACATTAAAAATCAAAGTGTAATATGCTAAATCAAATTATATTATATTAAATTAAGATTATAAAAATTTTATGTCAATCGCTAATGCTAATCAAATAAATTTTATCCCTACTCAAACAAATAAGAGAAACAATACGAGTGCATCAAGATTATCAGTTGATTCGATTTGATTTATTCGATTGGCTCCATATCCGGCAGTCTAGCGGACGTGCTTATTACAACAGTGCCGGATATAGGGGCAATCTAGCCTTCCAGCTATCATGGACAGGACGCTATTGGGGCTGGCCCGCACTCTGCGCACCAGTGATGTGCATCTTTTGCGCATGGTCGCGTGAAAGCAATCGGTTCGTGCCGCCGCAAACATACCAGAGGCGCTGCAGGAGCGGGGCAGCCCCACCAGCGCCCTGAAAGCATTATTAAATTGTACACGGAGCGTACTGTACGCTCTTTGCGAGTAGTTAGCCCACAGGGCGCACGTGTACAGTGACGTACAATACGCACGAAAGAGAGTAATCTTTACTGCGACTGAACTTCGCGCAAATCTGCGAGCTAACATATTTGCTCTCCTAGACAGGGCTCTCCTCTCACGTTCTATGTCATCACTGTCTCCGAGGCCGGCCGTTACCATATGCCCTAAATACTTGAAATGGTCCACTCTATCCAGAGGGACACCATTAAGGTATACGGGTGGTACATTTCGTGGGAATTTGGCACCGCCAGTCCCGAAGACCATGAATTGACTCTTGGTGACGTTATACTTTAGGCCGTGCTCAACGGCATACCTCTCGCAGACTCGCAACAGCTGTCTTAGGCCACAGACCGACGCACTCAACAAGACCATATCGTCCGCATAGCTAAGGTTATTGACGCAAACGTCATCAATGTGGCAGCCGACATGGTGGCCGCTGAGCTCGACGATCAGCGCGTTCATGTAAATATTGAACAAAGTCGGAGAGGTTAAGCCACCCTGCCTGACACCACACTGGAGCCTATACGAGTCAGACACTGCACCCGCCCATCTGACGCTGTTAACCTGGTGTGCATACCAATACTTAAAGATGTTTATGAGTTCGCGATAATAGAATTACAGATTTGCGTTAGAATTTTCGCTATGTTGCCGTTCTGACCACGTAACGTAATAGTACGAGTAAGTGATGGGTAGGTAACCCTGCCACTTCACGCACACATTCGCGCGTGTGCAGATAGCTTGTTGTACGTAGTATTAGTAGGTAAATAATTTTCGACCGTTGTATGGAGTGTCCGGGGTGAGTCATTAGGAACGTATTGGCATTTAGTTAACTTTCGAGATATTGGCACTTAGTTTTTTTTAAATTTTTGTTGTTATGGGAAGACTAATAAAATATTTATAATAAAAATATTTC